TTCCTTTTGTTTTGGCCTCTTTAACTGCCTGTTTATGTTTTCTTGCAGCTCATCATTGCGCGATTTGTATTTTGTTTATATTTTTTATTGCTTTTTGTTTTGGTATGTTTTACGCCAACTTTTAGAATACCTATCGTACGTTTTCAGTCGTATACAAATGTATGCATGTATTGCGCTTGTATGTATGTATGTCTAGTATAACTCACAAACAAGTTCTAATCGTTGCGGATGTACATGAATATACATATATATATGTATGCACATAACTACACGAATAGCAAGAACATTTCTAAGAAAAATTATACTTTCATGAACACAATAAATTTAGTACACACATACGTACATATATACATATATACATATATGTATACGTATTTTCATTAGGGCGAAAACATTTCGTACAAGTAAATAAAACATACGTATGTGCATACATTAGGGTGGTTCAAAATAAGTAAAGTCGGAAAAAGTATACCCCTGTTTTTTTGTTTTGAAATCAAAAAATATTTAGAGATCGCTCAAAGCGCTCCAACTTTTCGATGTATTTTGTATGGGAAAAAACAACTTTTCGTGGAAATGGTATGGAATTCTTGAAAATCAATATTTTTCAATAGAACAATTCTAGGGGGTGAGAGCATAAAAATTCCGAATTCACTTTTTTTTACATGCATTTTTGGACCACCCTAATGTACATACATATATGAATATGTAGTCGAATGATAATGCAAAAAATAATTCCTAGTTTTAACATGCGAATTCTTGTTGTTGTGGTTGGATTTTAGCGACGAAGCGAGAAAATGATGCATTATTCTTAAGCCAAGTGGAATCAATTTCTCAACCAGGCAAAAAGTCAGATCCCCACAGATTCTACATATGTGCGGAAGTTGAAGAGTTGTTTATATAAAATTGAAAGTTAAGTTCTGATGGGGTAATAGTGATTTATTTACTAGATAAACTCTTCGCTTGCTGTGACTTATGTTCGACCGTAAAACAGAAATTGCTCATTTAACATCAAATAAGAAATGACCAAAGTAGCTGGCCCGTTATTTGCTCGTTCCCTGAAAACTTATTTCTGATAAGTCCTCTTAAATTCTCTATTCGAAACGTTCTGTAATGTTGACTTAATGGAAGCAACAAAGTTTTGTCAACCTAATGCACAGTAGTATGTAGATATACGCTTTTCCAACAAGTTTCTTTATTCTCAATCTTCTTTGTTCGGCGCAATGCAATTTGTTGCTTTTCTAGTTTTCCATTTGTATTTATTAGCAAATTGCCCTGTTATTTTCCATGGCATGACTTTGATAAAGTCATAAGTAATGACGACATCTCGCACAACATTAGCACAATAGGCAATGTGACCGGTTAGTTAATAAACAATTAAACAGTGTATGGCATTTTATATAAAAACTGTTTTTCTTAGCCGATGCGTACTTGCCATAGGAGCGTAAATGTATGTATTGCTTATGTTCGTAATGTTTCTCCTCTTAAATCCGCTTTAAATAAATTAATACAATATGGGTATCAATTGTAATGCTTTTGAAAAGGGTTTTAGTTCTAAACTACATGAAGGAGGGTTGCCAACTGTTTGAAAAAAATTTAGGGAATTAGGTCTTTTTTAGTTTGAAAATATTTTGGAGAGGGTTGCCACCTGTTTTAACAGTCGAGTTGATTTAATACTCAAATTAAGGTGTCAAACGTAAGAGTGTTAAGAAATGTTCAGCTTGAGGTATCTTAAAAGGGTTACCACCTGTTTTAAACCTAATTTCAAATACAATTATATTATAAGTTAAATGAGTTATTACAATATAGGTATTGATCGAAAGAATCTTGGCTTTATTTCTAAGCCACATATCTCTAGCAGGGTTTCCACATACATATTTGAAAATTAAAATTCAACTTGAGTTATAGGAATTAGGTAATATGAATACGTATGTATGTATCACAATATGAGTGTCAGATGAAAGCGGTTTAAAAAGGTTGCCAACTATTTAAAAGCTTAAATTATAAATATTCAACGAAGTATTACAATAAGGGGTATCAATCGTAATGGGTTCGAAAGGGCTTCATTTCTAAACTACACGTAAGGGGTTTGTCACCTCTTTCAAATCTCAAATTGAGTTCAGGGGCTAAGTTATTTGAAAAAGTATCACAATAGAGAGGTTTAGAAAACTTTAGTATGAAAATATTTTGAAGATGGTTAGAAAAATTGTCAATCTCCCGTCCTTGGCATAGTTTAAATATGTTGAGTTTTAATGAAATAAATTACACTTAATGTAGCACGCCCAAAATTTCATACACTCAGCGACGCGGTTGATGGCGATCTAGTTGAATATAAACGAAAAAAAAATAAATAAAATAAAACAAGTACGTATCATAAGAGCACGCAATATGCATGTTAAGATCCTGAGAAGAGAACACGAAAACTTGACAGACCTGGCGCAGGGCAGAATAAATGTAACATTATTTCGAGAAAAGAAAACGCTATAAGCTAGCGAAATTCTGTATATGTATGTAAGTGGATGTAGCTAATTTCCTACTAAACAATTACTTTGCATTATTCAATGAGACAGATAAATAACCATAATGATGATATAGCACATCAATTCGTTATATTCGTTACATACCTACGAGTGCATACATATGTATGTATGTACATACGATTTTTTGTATATCAGTGAAGTATTGCTAAAGCGTAGTTTAACTAATTGCACAACTGCCTAACTAATGGGTTTTATTTGCCAACAAGTACGAGTAGTTTAGTTTAAAGAGCAAGTCGAGACAAAATTTAAAATGTTTGCGTGTAAGTTTTTAGTTGCGTTTAAAAACTAGCAAAGGCCTCCCACAGCAGCTCATTTAGTACAATATCAGGCATAATCTGGTACGTCAGACCAAGTGACGCAGTTCGGAATTTAAGTTTCATCTCTGCGTGCATAAATTATTCACAATTTTTACCAAACTAATGGCATTGACATTGACGCCCCTCACTGTTTTAGCTTTCTTGTGCGGCGTAAGTTATTCCTACGGCCAGCATCCTACTCGATTCTATATATTTTCTTGGGCGAATGTGACGAATGCAGCCAATACGGTGCCCATTTTAAGTTATGTACATATTCGTAGATGTCAGCAATGTTGTTTTTTTTGTAATAAAAGCAGCACTCAAAGCATTTCAAATTTATTCCAGTGGTGTATATGTATAGTAAAAAGATTCATTCTCCCACTACCGCTCCCATTAGTTTGGCACCAACTTATATCCGAGTATTTCACCCCACGCTTTTATGCAAATGGGCAAAATGATTTTAACGAGCGAGTTAACGTATTAAGGATGTTTAAAATTATATTATTTTATTATATCAATATTCTAGTTAACTGCTCCCAGAGATATGCGTCACGAGAATTTAAGGAAATGGAAATCGACATAGAAAATTTTCTCAAATAATGCGTTTTTGAATCGGCAGCTGAGAGAGGGCGTTCCTCAACCGAATTCCGAGATAGGGGGGCGAATTCTGAAGTAGGTCGTTCTTGAAAAGTTTTCTGAGATAGGACGTTTTCGAACTGGCTGCCCAGATAGGTCGATTTTCCACTCAGGTATCGATTTGGGACGCGCCCCGTTTCCTTTACTATCAACTTAATTTTTTTCTGTCAGTACGATATTGACAAATCCCCATAAAAAATTCGAATACCCCTACAAATACATCCAGAGATTTTTATGGGAGAGACCACGGAACCTTTTCCAAAAACTATGCCTTTCCTATAACCCCCCAACAAATTTTCTCTGTGTTATCCCATTTCACCGCAAGTCAGATCTGAAACACAGTCAAAAACTCTTATTCTCGTATTTATCAGCTTTATCTTCGGCTACGATCAGCTTCCACTCTGTAGGGTCTGCGTGACTTTTCACTTTTAAAGTTTATTTCCTGCATTTACTATCTCGGCTCGGCGTTCAGCGTCCATTCTGCGGGGGCTCTTGATTCTTGATCGGTAGTCATGCTTTGCATAGGAGCTCTTCAGGGCCATATTAAGATGGATGGATGGCTATCGGACACGGCAGCTTGGCAGTTTTTATCGGCCCTACTGCTATTCGAATTTCGTAATGAAACATCGATTACTTCAGATCATAGATGGGCGCAGTTTAGAGGAGCGTTCCTCCCGATTAGTTGAGTATATTCTAAGCATCAGTCTACCGTTGGAGTTCTAGCAGAAATACGCTTCAGTCTTTAAACCTTCCGGAAGTTATTGGACTGGTCGAAATTATAGGTACTAGGGTGTTGGCCAGCCAATAACTTCCACGGCAATGGTACTCTAACTGTCCACCCGATACTGTTTGATGTCAGAAGGTTCGATTGTTTCCGGTTCACTCGTGCCCAGAAGTCAGAATTGCGTTGTATGAGGAGAATCTATCCCATACCTATTTTTTTATTTACTACAACCGAGGTCGATGTAAACTAGAATGTGTTATCTCACTCTACGACTTTTTAAGGTTGTGGGAATTTCGCGCCTGGAATAAAGCCTACCTGCATAATAGTTTGTGGCTTTAATTTCAATCAAACAAGACGGCCATATAATTTTTGAGATTTTGTAAAATGTTGCAGTTTCCAATTTGGCAATGGTAGAACTAGCAGAAGCCACCGAATGCAAAAATGAGCCAAACAGCCGAAAAGGAACCGACTAACAACTATACTTGTGATTTCATATTCTAGGATCCCGGCATCATAGTTATGATTCCCCAAACAAATAGGGTGGGTACCAGATATCCACATATGCAAATTACTTTTGATACTTCCTTGAACTATGCGTCGATCTTGGACTTCTACCAAAACTTCCCTATCAAAATTAATTTCGGATGTTTTCGAAGAAGAAAGGTGCTCGATTTATAAAGAAAAAACGGAATTTCAATGTAAAGAGTACTGCAATCTCAATGTATGCTCGATTCTATCGACTCGTTTATAATATGCAGTGAGGAAAAAAGCATCAAGGTCACACTTATTTTCGTCTTATTTAATTCATTTGTACAACAATTTACAATTTCATAAACGTACGCTAAACCCCACTATGCTGCCGCATCCACTCGCGCGCATACTGCACACGCGAGTACACACCGGGGTATTCCGGTCTGGCACAACCATAACCCCACGACACCACACCCACCAGCACACCATCTTTGTTGGTCAGCGGACCACCCGAGTCGCCTTGGCAAGCGTCTTTGCCACCTTCGAGGTATCCAGCGCAAATCATACGCTCTGTAACGCCACCAAATTGTTTGTACTTCTCGGAACAGAGATCCTGATTGAAGATCGGCACCTCAGCCTGACGCAACCATTGCCGTGATTCGCTCTCATTCTGCGTATTACCCCAGCCGGTCACATAGCAAATATCGCCATCCATGAATTCGTCACTCGCTCCCGGCAACTTGACTGACTTTTTATTCTCCGAGAATTGGATCTCCTTATCGAGACGCAGCAAAGAGAAATCGTAATCCACATTGGAGTAATTGAACTTTTCATGCTGTACAATTTCGTTGACGCGCAGCAATTGTCCGCCGCTAGAAGCTTCCGAAGAACCGATGCGTACCTTTAGTTTGTCGGCAGTTTTTCCGCTGAAAGAGATGGAGATTAAAGTAGATAAGGCTGAGATGCATAAAAACTAAGGAACTTACGCAGTACAATGAGCGGCCGTTAGTACCCAGCGAGGCTAAGCGGAAAGAAAGAAAAGAGTTTACTAAGACAATGAAGTAAGTTAGGTATGAGGGTGCCTTTATAGAGACAACCTCGAAAGTATCCATATATTTCATATATTACGAGACCACGCCTTAGATTTACCAAGCCTGGTCGCCGTCATCTTCGGGGAAGTGTGCGTCTTCTTCTGCTAAAAACAATGCGCCTTTTCTGCTAACTTACCGCTATAATCGAACCTCCACATATGTGTCCACCGCTTGTCTGTAGTGAAATCTGATGTGGCGCATCGGTAATATTTACTTTGTAGCCACCAACAATGCGTCCATCAAGGCGTGGTCGCGGTAAGATAACATCGGAGGGTAAGGCTGCGTCGTCCATACGCGCCGTATTCACTTTCTGTCCCCTCAGTGGCTGTGGAATGATGCATGCTGCAAGGAATAACATGAAAAGAGACGGAGGTTAACAATTTGAAATCCAAGTTTGTTGGAAAAATGGCATGGCTTTACTTCTGGAAGTTCTCAAACGAACCATAATAGGCTTAGCTCTAGAACCCAAACACTCTAAATCAAAGCCTGACGCTAGGAACTTTTGGATTCTCAAACACAAAGCCTAATGGTTCTCATAAACACTCTTCCTCTTTGAGAGTGTATTTTTTAAAGCCTATAGACCAAATAAAATCGGATGTTCAAACTGCTTACTTCTGTAACTAGGTAGGAGAAGGCACGCGTCTTTTACACTAGTTGGGTGGTGGATGAAATTTGGTAACGGTATTTACGTAATATTGGATCTCGTCCATGAGTTCTCGAATATGTCTTCTGATGGTCAAATGTACCCTACTGAGGTAACCGAGCAGGAATTGCTCAAAACATTATTTTATTTACTAAAAAAAAAAGTCCTGCCGGCATGAGGGACATAACTCTTTGGAGGGTCGTGCATAGTGAAGTACCTGAAACCTGCAGGAAACATTTGCACTCGACTTTCTTCTTAGCTCCGAGAGTCCGAATGGCGCCCAAGCGTCTGACAGGTGAGCCCTGTGGCTGTATCTCTAAGATCCAAGAGCGGCAGTAGCCACCTAAAACGAGGGTGCGATTTAAAAACTACGTATGTTCGCCGACCATCCTCGAACTTAAGCCTCTTCGCCTAACCATAGAGCAAAACGCAAAATGAGCTGTACTAAGTTTTGGTGGAGAAGAATATGGTAACGCAAAGTAAAGGCTGGGGTCTGTGCTACATCTAGCTCTATTTCGTAGAGACATGAGTAAAACCATGATTTTTAAAAGAGAGACTTACTCCATAATAAACAAGGTAGGCGGATGGCTATGTAATTAGTCTGCGCGCGGAGTTAAATTTATCTGGAAATTACCGGAGAATTTGTAACGAATAGTGTGAAATAAGATAGCGAACAGTATTGGAAAAGAGACTGCAGCTAACATTCCAATCAGTTCCGAGCCCTTCCTCGTTGTAACTAAAAGAGTGCTATTAAGGAAAAGTTCAGGAAGGAAGTGAGTCATGTCGCGACACTCCGCATGCCGGGCACTCGTCGGGCACAACTGAGTTCACTCTGATCAGATAAGAGTTAAGATTTCTGCAATATCCACAGCGAAATTGTGCTATCGTCGGCGATAGTTTGGGAATCGATGTAAGTTGAGACCGACTCCCTGTGAATGCCGTTTATGGCCTGTCGGTATGCTGTCGGGTCCGGAGGTTATTTTATGAACGCCTGTGTCTTCGTTCATTGCGTCTTATTAGTTCAGGATAACCACAAAATCACAGCGCAACTTAAAACCTCTCCACCAATAGACTCGCATATTCTCAACAACGTTTTTTCACCCGAGTACTGGGTAAGAGCGATTTGAAGATTTTGTTTTGGTGCGGCAAAAGGGAGCAACTCTTAAAGGTGACACGAGATTTTTAACCGTCAGAAACTGTGTGCTATCCGTGCGGGTTCCTTTGACAGCTTTACCCCTTTTGTCCTGATATTAATCAAGGTAACTTTACAGTGAAAAAGCGAGCTAGATCGGAGAGGTAGCTTCTTGCTTTCGAACTCAGGGCATCCGTCTCTCATGTGGCTGAGGGGCTGCAATATAACTAAAAAGCTAAAGCTGCCAGAAATATAGTATAAGTTGTTAAGGATTTTTATAGTTGTATTGTGGAACGATTTTCCGTCATCCCTTGTCCGGTTTCGGCGTTGTGCCATCTTCAGTTCCATTTTTCGTTCCATGAAACCGGTTTGTCTCCAAACCAAATTTGACAAGGGATGATGGAAAAACGTTCCACAATACATCATACCCTGTCGGAAACACAAACAACCAAAAATAAATTTTTATAGTTCTTTCGAATTTGGAATCTCCGAACAAACTGTATTGGTAAAAGTACAATCCAATACTTTTACCAGCAAGGCGACTTTTTGAATTATCTTCACTGAATGTACTTCTATAAGTCATGAACTTCAATGAAGGCTCAACACTTCGGCTTTCCAATTAAACCAGATTATTTCCCGTATTTTTTACAATAACAATGGTTTACTAGTTTTAAACAAAATATTAGAAAAAAAAAATAGTTCTCCGTAAATAGCTAAAAAAACAGAAAAAAATATTCAACACACCTCCAGCTCGCACTTCCTGCATTAATCCACATAATACCAAAACAGTAACAGCTAAACCATATGACTTAGTTCCCGACATAATATTAATCTTCAGCATAAAAAACTCCGAACACCGAACTCACTCCACATACGTCAATAACTCCGCACGGAAATCCAAGAAAAACTGTGCCTTATCAAGAAACTTGTTGCACCTTATATAGCACGCATAGCTGCAATAGCCGCCCCTCAAATCTAGACCACGTTTCTATTAAACGGTGTTTTCTTTTTTTTAATTGTGCACGCAACAATCTTGACCGCCCAGGGTTTTATAGCATACTCTATGTACATATGCGCACAGAATATATAGAACATTGTGATATGATTTCAACGAGCAGCGCTTGACTCGAATGGCATACATACCATTAAACCATTGTGTTGGTACTGCAAATCAAAATGAGGCCAATAAAACAGAAGCGCAGACAATTCGCACCCGCAAGCTTGAGTGGCTTAGATGCACCACTCGAAAAGTAGTGAGGTGTCCAATTGTTGTACGCAGTTACATGCAGACAAATGTATGTATGTTCTTCTTTAGCATTGTGTGCTTTTGTGGTGTTTGCAAAGTTTTAAAGGAGCTGATATGACACAGATAATCTAACTGGTTTTTACAAGTGAAAATGAAAGCACTTTGCGATGAGCACTGTGTCAATAAAACCACAAAAGTTGTAAATTAAGCAAATAGTTTGTATATCTAACATAAAAACGTACCTAGGGTTGTATATACGTGCGCGCATATGGTATCTTGAGCACATTTGTTGCACGGCGCCTAGTCGTGGCCAATCTGATTTATCAACCACGCAATAGATTTATTTATATACGTTAATGTTCTGGCCGTTAACTTCTAGCAACCACGCCTCAAAAGGTTGCCGGCATAAATGCAAATATGATGTTTTTTTTAGCTGTACCAACTTTTTATTTATACATAGGACGTAACTCAGTAACCTTTTACATGCTCAGCAAATCTTTTGTTGTGAAATTCCGAATTCTTTAAATAATTATAAATTATTGTAAATTAATTTATTTAAATAAATTAATAATTTTTTTTTTAATATCTTAATGGGGCAAACTAATCAACCACATAGATGAATTGGCGACCAACTTCGACAACTTTGTCATCGACTTTCAATGAAACCTGCTTCTTCTCTACATCTAATGAAAATTCGCCCTCGGTCAATGGAGTCTTGCCGGTTTTGTAATCTTGGAATAATGGAATTTGGCGTGGTCCAAGCGCTGGATCATCATAGCGCCAAATTTTGAGAGTTGACAGGTCAGCTGCGAATGCAAAAAAAAATACATATTATGGATACATATAAAATCCGCTGGCAAAAAATGTTATCAATAAGATTTTAGATAAAAAAGAAAATAGATTAAATAAATTTGTTTATGGAGCGCTTAGTCGTTTATAATTCATTAAATGACTGCACACACCTTTAAAGTTTATCAACTTTGCCAGTTTTTCAATCAACTGCTTTACCGTGTCGCCTTCACAAATGACTGTGTTTACTTGAAACAATCCAGAACGCTCAACTGGATTTACCAGTTCGACTGTTACATTCGGCGCTATCATAAACGCTATGAAAGGTGAGCCAGGACGCACCTCTTCACGCGTCTTCTCTGGTGCACTGGGATCGTCTGTGTATTTAACTTCTAAGTCATCCACCTAAGGAACAGAAAAATAGTCAATTAATATTCTTCTGTAGCTTAACATTTCCCAACCAACACCTACATCTAATGTATTTTTCAGATAGTCCAGATTGTTAAGCAGCACTTGTCGCTCGTCGAATTCCAAATTGATGGCGAGCGCATCAACACCTTTGCCACTTTCCACTTTCTCGCGTATCATTTGCGCGAAGGGCATTACACGCTTCATGAACTTCTTTAGCTGCTCCTTTTGCTGCAGCGTTGCCGCAATAATTTTATTGTCCGGAAACTTGCCATCTTTGCTATACAACTCACGCAGCGTGTCGAGCACACAACACTGCCACGGTGGGTAAGTTTTGGCTACCCAGACTAATGCGCGATCTGGCTTGACACTTGCCGGGTCCACTGCCTTCTCCTTGCCACCCTTGCCCTTGACATGAAGTAAATTCTTCAGATTGAGACGGAACGAATGCGCCGCTTCCATCAAATACTCAGATCGTTTAATATCAACCTCATTGATTTCGCCTACGCTAGGCCAGCGTGCGTGTACTATGGACTGCTTATTGCCTAGCAGGCCCCACACATAGTCGGCGACATGTGGACAAATGGGCGCCACAAGAAGTGCTTGGCGGCGTATAAACTCCAGCACCAACTGCTCATGCATACCTTGCGCCCCAGACAGCTCGCGATATTTGTCACGCGCTAGTTGCAGCTCATAGAAACCAGTGCGCAGCGCTTCTTTGAACAACATTTTGCGATAATTCTCGTCGGTTTCGCGCGTCTTCAGATTCATTTCACTGATGAACACCTTGTCGTTGAAAGTGTCCGGTTCGCCCTTACGGAGCAATGCACGTGAAGCTAGCATCTCTTTCACCCACTCAATAAATGTGTACAGCCGAAGAATACCAGCATCGGCAGTGCTTACAACGAAGTTGGCATCTTCTACGCCGTCGCCGGAGTCGGCCAGACAAAGTCGCGTACCATCAGCAGAAAATTTCTCAACGGCTTCGTAGAGTGTAAGAAAATTGCCATCAGACTTGGACATTTTGGCGGAATTTAGCAGTAGATGGCCATTGACTCGGGTGCCCAAAGGCCACTTGTCTTCGTCATTTGGCCAAATGGCAGCGTGGTTGTAGAGCATAAATGTTAGATGGTTATTAATCAAATCCTTGCCGCTGACACGTAGGTCCATAGGGTACCAGTACTCGAATTCGCGACGCAAAATGTCTAGCGATTCTTTCTTTACCGGCAGTTTATCGGAATAGGGAGTTTCCGTAAAGAAAATGTAATCCCACACGTCGGGTGTCATATCTTTGGCGGTAATGCCTTAAAAGTGAGTAAAATATACATTCAATATAACAAACATTAAACTAAGCCAAATTCGACTAGCCTTAAGCAAGTGCTGCATCTTCCATAGGGACTTCGTCTGATATTCCCTACTCATGCAACTGCTGATTCTTACCTAGTGGACTCGGTATTTCGCCTCTAAAGGATCCGGCTTGCAGAAGGTGCACAACTGTGTAGAAAGCCATATAAATTGTGGAATCGGATAGCGATTCAATAAGCCACTGTTGGTCCCACGGCAGCTTTGTGCCAAGCCCATAAGTTCGAGAGCAGGCGTATTCGTGCAACCAATTCAAGCATGCTTCGAAGTTATTGCGCGCCTCTTCGTGGTATACCTCCATGCCATCCAGCATCATTTTGGTCTGCGCTTGCCACACAGGCTCGCCGTAGTTCAAATACCATTGATTGCAAAGTGCCACTACACACTGATCGCCAGAACGGGAAAGAATTAGTTTTTCTGGTTCATAATAGATTTCAGCTTCATTCGCGGCTAAAAGTTTTTTCTGTAAATCTTTTTTTATATCCTGCACTTTGCGTCCAGCGAATTCACCAACCAAAAGTACGCCATCGTAAAATCCTTAATAAAATTATAAAATTATGCATTACTTCAAACGTAAAGTGGTATGTCGAGGTGTACCTTTCAAGTAGCAAAGCTCCTTCGCTTCAGCCAATTTGTCTTTGTCATTCTGGGACTGTATTTTAAATTTTTCATAGGCGTAGATAGCACATGTGTTTCCCAACGTGGGCACCTCTATGATAGGCACGGGCGTAAAAGGTAGTACCATCTCATCCTTGATGTTGTACTTTTGACGGAATGCTTCTTTTTTCTGCAAATCTACTAAGGCCGCATAATCATCAGGCGAATCGGAAGGTACAGACGTCACGACCCCAGTGCCTTTATCTTCTTTAATCGACAACATTGGCAAAGTGTAGATAACTTTGTGTGATGTCATTGGCGCCGCAAGCGGTGTGCCCAACAAATCCTGACCAGTCAGCTCGGCGATCTCTATTACCTTTCCTTCTTCGACAGTAAAGCCCTGGAAGGACATATTTCGCGCTGCACGACGTGTGCTANATTTTCATTGAAATATTAATCATCTACCTCAGCTTTGCTGGCTTTGCAAGCAACTTCATTTTAATCAAGGTGTATTCTTGTGGGCCTACCCCCTCGCCCGTTGAACGGTCATGATCCATGCAAGGTTGACCATCTTTTGGTGAGTAAATGGTGTAACGCTTACCGTACATCACTTTGCCGCGATTTTTTAGATGGAGAAATTGCCAACGTACAAATGAATCGTAATAGGGATTCGCATCAGTCGTGATGAAAGTGCGCCGAAAGTCTACCTACAAAAAAAAATTTTCGCTAAATGCTTTAAGAATTATGTGTTAAGTTTTTAACTTACATGAAGGCCTAGACTTTTTAGATCCTTGATAGCCAGAGGCGGAAAATAGTTCAACCAGTATTCTGCTTCTGCGAAATTCTTGATCTCTTCATCTTTCAAACCAAGACTTTGCATAATCTGCCACTGATATTTGGCGGCAGCTGTTTTGGCAACTGCCTTGCTCTTCTTACCCTTGGATTTGTCTTTTGGCACCTCGCCTTGTTCCGGCTCTACGGGAACATTTGAGTTTTCTTCCAACGGAAATTTAGGCGGATAGCCAAAGTCTTGCAATTCCCGTTTCAACTTATCGGCGCATGCTTTAATAGGCATGCCAGTGCAGTGAAAACCAAATGGCCAAAGCACACGTCGTCCCTTTAGCCGATGGTAACGCATAGCAAACTCGGCTTTAGATAGCGAGAATGTATGACCCAAATGTAGGCGACCATTCATGTAGGGAAAGGGAAAAGTGACAAAGAACTTCTCATCCAGACTTTGGCGTGGCTCAGCTGGCGCATCAGTTTCGTGTACATGTTCAGCTTCCCAGCGCCTCTGCATATCACGCTCAATTTGCTGAAGATACTCCACCTTAAAGGTACCCTTTCGTTCGATGTTTGCCTATAATTTAATACAGATTAGCAATTTGAATAAAACATGAATCACTGTGTGCATAGCTGTCCACGTTACTGCATCAGATTGCACTCGTGGCGTAGCAAAATCTGCAATCTACAGTAAAGGTGTTTTATTCCTGTTTGTACTGAAGGGATCGTTCGTATTTGCGGGAACTATGTACTTACCATTTCGTTTAATTTCTGTGTTGTTTTATTGGAATTGAATAAATACACACAAATACGCAAAGAAAATAGAAAACGCTAAACGAGCAGCAAAACTGCAACGTGTTCCCGGCAACAGCTGTTGAACTTGTGATGGCAAAGCATCGATGTCACTATCGATAGAATCGACTATCGATACTATCGATGATATTTTACATGGTATAAAGGGCATGTCAGATAAAACTTTATATCTTTGCGTGACATTTCGTCGCATGGGTAAAAGATTATCGTAAGCGTCATACGTTCGTGCGAAACATACGACAATCTTTTACCCAGGCGACGATTTATAACTTGCAAAGCGCAGAGCCCAAAAGCAGTGCCGCAATGAACGCCAAAGAAACAATTTCGTACTGATGTAATCATCAGTTTGTAATTTTGTATCAGCGATGTAATTAAATTTTATGTTTCCGCATAAAAACCTGAAATTGAACGGAACCTAATCAAAATTAAGCTAGCTAATGCTCAACGCGCGAAAACAGCTGGGAGCTGGCCATCTATGTGCCGTACTTTATGCATACGTTTCATCTTATCTGCCAAAAAGCCTGATTACGGCAACTCAGCTTAACTTAACGGATGGTAGAACTTAGAGAATCAAAATTAAACAGATTTCGACGTGACATTAAGTCACGTTAATTTTCGGCTGTTCAATTATAAGCAACACCCTTTTAACAGAATTTTTAAGAGAGAGCCGTAATGCAGCGTTTTTGCTGCATTTAAAATGCAACATTTAGCACTTTCGAACATATGTTTTCGAAGAGCGTTCATGCTATCGCATTTAGCAAATGTACATTTACGCGAGTTCGAAGTCGTATGCTTTTGACAAACAGCCGTGTTCCAGTCGCTTATTCAGATCCGTATCTATTACGATAAATTCTCACGGAAAAGATAATGTCCAAAAATCACTACTGAAAAGGAAAAAATAAATTCTAAACCGAAAATTCAATACAAAAACTTGAATTGTTTTAACCATAACCAGACATTTGTTTGTGTATATATTCATTTGTCGGTGCTGTCAATTATAATTTCCACACTTAATTAGGAAACAAAACAAACAGAGTTGATCACAAATTAATCCAGATTTCTATCAGCATCATATCGATGTTTAATTTGCGTAACTTTTCTTTATCCAAGTAATGTAAAATAATAAATGAAATCTCGATCGGCGATCACTGAAACGCAGCTAGCGGCTGTATACTCGAAAAAGCAATGTTGCCACTTCTTCTCATTAAACCATGTTCGAATCGTGGAAATTTTGGAAGATCACAGGGTTGCTTTTAGCATTTAGATTCTAAATGCAAAAATGGAGTTGCATTTAGTTGCATTTAGGTGACGAATTTTGTATGGATAAATGTACATTTAGAGTAGCATTTAGAGCTAAATGCGCTAAATGTGCTTTTACGCGTAAGCAAAAACAGCCCATTAGAAATTAAATTAAGAAAATCAGCTTTTCACAAACATGTGTTTTTAAATAAACAAAAGAAAAACAGAGAACAGAGAAACAGATATTAGGTGTGTTCGTTTAAAATCTCCAGTAAAACCAACCAACTGCCAAATTCCGGCGAAATGTCGTCTGTTCTCTCACAAGAGAAAAATATCCAAAATAGTAAGCGAACTGAAAATTTGCAGAAACTTGCAAGTTAGACGAACAGCTGATATAATTTTTGTTTACGTTCAAAAGTGTTAAATTTAAAACGTGCGAAAAGTCATCACAAAGTGTTATACTGACACAGTTTATTGACTAAACAAATAACAACTTATTTCTTGCAAGTTTAATTAGTCGCATTTTGTAATTTTTACTTCCAAACCACCAAATTCAATTTTGTCATTTGCGTAAATGCCAACCAGCGGTTTTCCTTTTGGCAAATTGCTGTTGGCAAAAATTTTTCCAGCAGAAACCAGCAGCTTCCCCTCAAAATCAAATGTCACTTTGCTCTCTCAATTTTCCCTACTTTGCAAGTTTGTTGCGTACGCGAACGCAAACACATGTAAGTTTTGGTTAAACATGAACAATTAACAGCTACGCGAACGCAACTATTAGATCCCACTTGTATGTAAGCTTGGCAGCTCTGTTATACAGGTGGGCACTTTTCGAATTTCGAATTCGTATGACAGTTGACTGACAGCTGATACAGAACCATATGTTTGTAAACGTTTCCTGAAGTGTCTTGTGGATGAGCTACAAAATTTCTCTGGCCAGCATAAAAGCTAGTTACTTTACAATTTTAACATTATACCGCCAGGTTCCTCACCAATAAACTACCAAGATGTCGTATATGCTACCACATTTACACAATGGCTGGCAAGTGGACCAGGCCATACTCTCGGAGGAAGATCGTGTTGTGGTAAGTACCCCGAAAAGAAACTGAAAACGCCAATTTCCAAGTTTGTTATAATTTTATTCATGCAGGTCATACGTTTTGGACACGATTGGGATCCCGCTTGCATGAAAATGGACGAAGTCATGTACAGCATTGCGGAGAAAGTGAAAAATTTTGCAGTAATTTACTTGGTGGACATCACCGAGGTGCCAGATTTCAATAAGATGTATGAATTATACGATCCCTGCACCGTAATGTTTTTCTTCCGCAATAAACATATAATGATTGATTTGGGTACTGGTAATAATAATAAAATCAATTGGCCGCTTGAGGACAAACAGGAAATGATCGATATTGTAGAAACGGTATATAGAGGAGCAAGGAAAGGACGCGGTCTTGTCGTGTCACCAAAGGATTACTCTACCAAATATAGATATTAAGCGCTAGTTTATTATTAATGACTATATAATATATGCACGTATATACAGTATATCAAATTATCACTACTATTAAGTCACCATATCGTTACCTTAATACAAAAAGGCGATAATTTCGAAATTTAGCTTACAAAGTTTAATACATATATTGCTCACTAAAAGCTTAATAGGGTTTTAAAGACATCTACTACAGCAGTAAAAAAAGTTTCAGCTGTTTTTTTGAAATCCCAGGTTTTAAAGAAATTCCCAATTTTAGAACTTTGATTTTTTAAAGTTTTGTAATTGCTCTCTAAAGAGACACAATTTTGGATGAAGCCTATCTGTATTAAGGTAACGATATGTACGTACATCAGCATGTAATTTTCATCTCATCTATCAGCTAAGTCGGATTGTGTAACTAAAATGCGAATTTAAAAACAAATCTATAGTCTTAATTTTTGAAAAAGCTAATCTATGTGTGTTCATCACCTTCATTTGAATGGAGTAGAGCGTGAGAAAGCGGTACATGCTTGTTTGGAGCGATCTAGAAATGTTTTGCCACATTTAGCAAAGGTCTGCTGCATAAGAAATGGCATGCCGCAGTTTCCATTATGTCACTACGTATTAAGTTAATTTATGCTATTAAAACATTGCCCCAATTTGGAGTCGGCCGTGCAATAACCCTGGACATGGGCTTGCTTTATGGGTAATAGTAATAGTATAGAAGTTTTGCCTTCCATATGTATGAGAGGATTAATGAATGCGTTCCTAAAGCTCTCCTCCTAGTAAAAATATTTTGGAACAACGCTTGCTTTTCAGACATATGTACATATGAATGTACATATCGTCACCTGTAATTCCAAATAACGTAACAACATCGCCACTGAAATGGAAAAAGTCGTGACTATTTATATTTTTTTTTCATTAAACGTTGTGGGGAGTGGTAATTTGATGAAATCCATCATAGCAATCAAAAAGTGAATTTTGAATTTTTTATAAGTTACGACTTTTCGCATTTCAGTGACGATGATGTTACATTCTTTTGCATTTCAGGTGACGATATATGCATCTTGTCGAAATGAATGTCCTCAATTGTACAAAAGCCCTGCAATTCTTACACCTTCTACTTCCTATGGCGCCCATTTGGCGCTTTCCATATATATAAAATTAAAA